TTTTTTTTTTTTTTTTTTTTTTTTTTTTTTTTTTTTTTTTTTTTTCTTTTTTCCCAATTCTCCTCCCCATCCCACTGGAGGGATGCAAGTGTCTGCCTGGTACTTAATTGCCAGCTGGGGTTAAACCATGACAAAGAAAAATTCATAAATTCTAAGCCGGAACAAGAACACCACCCCAAACACAGTATCACCAGTGCCATGCTGTAAAGCAGAGCCTGTCCTATTCCACACCTGCTAAATTTTAAGCCTTTGCATGCCCTAAGGGACCAGTCATTAAAAGTCCACTTCAGAAATAAATTACTTTCTCCCTCATCGCAAGTTTCTATGAAGTAAAAACCTAATGTTGACACCTCCTCCCCACAGCAGGGTATTTATTGTCTGTTCCAGAGAGGAACCCACCCCTTCCTTCTCTATTCATCTCTCTATAAAAGATGCTTTTGAAAAGTCTGCTAGAAGAATGATTGAAATCCTAATCATCAGGAGTAAACGATGCTTGAAACAGATGAGCAGGCATGGCAGACAAATATTTTTGGGCAGACAATGGTAGACAAATACTTTCAGGAAAGCAAACATCCGTAGAAATACTCTTTGTTCTTGAATAAGTCTGTTGCTTTGGACAAATTTTCCTCAGGAGAGCAAAGACTCTAGGAACTCCTCCTCCTCCACAAAACTGGCATCATTCACACAACTGGCCTTTTTAGCAGAAAAATAACAAATAACTCTAATTTACTGCAACCCTTTCCTGAACGTACTGAATTCTCTAACCCCTGAACACAAAGACTTACGGTGTAAAATACAAGCATTTAAAACCAATTTCATTTTCTCTCACAAGCAGCACAAAATTCAAACAAGACCAAAAGAGCAAAATTATTTATAGTCATCTCCCATATGCTCATCTGTCATAATGTTCATGAATTTATAAATTGGGTAGAATTGAACAGACAATACAATTCAACTACAACATGCATAAGTTTGAACAGCTGGCAGTCAACACAGTTTGAACAATCTGCCAATAGACAGGAGAAACAAAGAGGAGAAATACAAATATGGTGCACAATCCCAAAAACTGGGAATACTCAACATGTATGAAGCAAAACCAAACACCACTTACTTCAGATTTGGAGGATATGTTTTCCTCCATGTCAGAATCATTGGGATCTACAATATCATCAAATGGTGGCAGAGTAGGTGTCTTCCTTTCCAGTGCATCGTTTTCAATTTTGACCCTCCCCACCTTGAGTTGAGATCTATCCTTTGTCTGGTTTTTGTCAGCTGAACAAGTAAGAATCAGTGGTTGGGCACTAGAAATACTTTTAAATAATGAATCCGAGCTACTTTTCTTTCTTTTTTTCGCAGAAGGTTCATCAGACTCCAGAACAGAGGGCCTTTTTGTGGGGGTCTTCTTTTCTTGCTGCTGCCCACCTGTTATGGTAAGGATGGGGTTGTTTTCAGATTTTGGCTCCTTGGACATGGGTTTGGGTTCCTTGAAGGCCATTTTGGGAACTACTTTTTCATCTTTTACTGGTTTGTTTTCTTTGGGTTTCTTTGAGGATTCTTTGGAAAATTTGTTGTGTTCCCTGGAAGGTTCTTTGAAGGCACTTTTATGTTCTTTTGAGTTTTTAGAGGTTTTTTCCTTGTGCTCCTTTGTTAACTTCTGAGTCTTTGAAAAACTGTTACTACTGCTGCTGCTGCTATTTATGTTTAGAATCCTAGTTGGGTCCTGCAAAAAGCAGATGCAAAATTTTATTTAAAAAAAAAAAAAGAAAAAAAAGAACTCTTAAAGCCCCAAAAGACAGACACGATATGGATACAGGTTTCATATTAAAAACTTGGTACCGCAGACTGAAAACAGAAACTGCAAATATTTATATAAGAACAGATAAAAACTCCATCATTTTAGTCAATTTATCTGATACAAAACGGTGGAACATAAGCAGTTACCACTGTTTGTCAGAATCTGCAAGACAAATTAGTTTTTATCTTATGAATTAGATAAGTTTTTTAAGAAACATCATAAGATGAACATAAAGACAGTTTAAGATGTGTTAACCATGAGTATTAGTGATCAGGAAAAAAAAAAACACACAAAAAAACCCAACAAAAAAGCCAACACCACCAAAAAACAAACAACCACAAAAAACCATAAGGAAAGATAATTGACAAGCAGCTGAACATGGCCAGCAGTGTGCCCAGGTGGACAAGAAAGCCAACAGCATCCTGGCTTGTATCAGAAATACTGTGACCAGCAGAAGCAGGGAGGTGACAGTCCCCCTGTGCTCTGCTCTGGCGAGGCCACACCTGGAGTGTTGTGTCCAGTTTTGGGCACCTCAATACGAGAGAGATCTCGAGGTGCTGGAGCGAGTGCAGAGGAGGGCAACGAAGCTGGTGAAGGGCCTGGAGAATAAATCCTGTGAGGAGCGATTGAAGGAGCTGGGACTGTTCAGTTTGAGGAGGAGAAGGCTGAGGGGAGACCTCATCACTCTCTACAACTCCCTGAAAGGACATTGTAGAGAGGTTGGTGCTGGTCTCTTCTCACAGGTAATTAGTGACAGAACAAGGGGGAATGGATTTAAACTGCAACAGGGGAGGTTCAGACTGGACATTCAGAAAAAAATTTTCACAGAAGGAGTGGTCAGACAGTGGAATAGGCTGCCCAGGGAGGTGGTGGAGTCACCATCCCTGGATGTGTTTAAGGGTCATTTAGATGAGATGCTGGGGGATATGGTGTAGGGAGAACTTGCAGAGTCAGGCTGAGGGTTGGACTCAATGATCCCAAGGGTCTTTTCCAACCTGAATGATTCTGTGATCAAGATATGAACCATATAGTGTCAACAGAATTAATTCAGGATCAGTGCAAAACATGTGCTCCTGATGATATTTCAGGCAAAATTTAACTTCTCTACTGTGATCCTGTCTCCAGCTCTTGCCAGATCCTTTTCCTCATAACAACCCTGGGTCCAGCCTGGCTATGGAAGACTTGATGTGAGATACACAGCATCTCAGCAGTCAATGTCTTTTTATGGAAAACCTCCTTTACAAAAAATGCTTTCTTCTTTGTATTTATTTCTGTTGTCTCTGCTGAGTATTTCATTGTATTTTTTAAAATTCAGTTGTGTGAAGGGTTTCTGATAGGGTGATGACTCAGAGGTCCTATAAGATAGGCAAAAGCAGAAAGAGCAGATCAGTACCATTTCTCAGTTGAATCTAAAAAGTCAAAGTGGCAAGGAAAATAGTGATCTGCAGCAAGAATCATCAATAAGGGAACTAAACCATCCAGAATGGGTTGTATGGGATCCTTTCTTCTGAGAATTAACACCCACAAATTTTCAAAAGATAAGGATAGTTCCAGCACTGCCCACTTTCACTCTAACTGCTAGCAGTGGGCACACAGCATCTCAAAAATTGGTGCTAGTCAGTTTCAAAAAGGGTGATAGTCAGTATAAATATTACAAGTGTACTTCTGGGTTTGACTTTCAATAATTTAGTTGCTTATTCATCCAAGTCCTTTGTAAGATGCAGATCAAAGTGGTGCCTAAAATCCTCTCATCTGTGTAAGACTGGATATGCTTTCATCTGTATAAAATTCATGTACAAATCCCTAGCTCTGTTATATTTTCCAGCAATCCACATCTAGTATTCTACACTGCTAAGAATATGCTTTTCTCTTCTGGCTCCTGTACTGGTTTTGGCTGGGAAAGAGTTACTTTTCTTCATAGTAGCCAGTATAGGGCTCTGTTTTGGATTTGTGCTGAAAACAGTGTTGACAAGACAGGGATTCTGCTAAGCAGTGCTTACACAGCATCAAGGCCTTCTCTGTTTCTCATGCTGCCCCGCCAGTGAGTAGTCTGGAGGTTACACAAGAAATTGGGAGGGGACACAGCAAGGACAGCTGACCTCAAGTGACCAAAGGGATATTCCAGACCATATGATGTTGTACTCAGTAATAAAAAGCTGGGGGAAGGAGGAGGAAAGGGGGACAGAGTGATGGCATTTGTCTTCCCAAGTCACCATAATATGTGATGGAGCCCTGCTTTTCCAGAGACAGATCAATACCTGCCTGCCAATGGGAAGTGGTAAATTAATTCCTTGTTTTGCTTTGCTTGCATGCACAACTTTTGCTTTACCTATTAAACTGTCTTTACCTCAACCCACAAGTTTTCTCATGCTTACCCTTGCAATTTTCTCCCCCATTACACTGGGGAGGAGCAAGCGAGCAGCTGTGTGGGGCTCTGCTGCTCACCAGGGCTAAAGCACAACAACCCTGTAGTATATAAGTAGATGTGGTATGTCTGAGTGTCTGTACTGGCTCTGTCTGAGCTGGAATTGGTTTTCCCTACAGCAGCCCTCACGGTGCTGTGGTTTATGCTGGGAGCTGGCCGGGTGTTGGCAGCACCCTGGTGTTGTGGCTACTGCTGAGCAGTGCTTACACAGCACCAAGGCTCCTTCTGACATTTTCCCCCCTGCAGTGGGACGGGGTGGGCAAGATCTTGGGAGGGGACACAGCCAGGATAGCTGACCCGAACTGACCAAAGGGGTATTCCAAACCATATGACGTCTGCTCAGGATAAAGCTGGGAGAAAGGAGGAAGAGGGTGGGGTCACCCTTGGTCCTCCGAGGCAACCACTACGTGTATTGGAGCCCTGCTCCTGAGAAGGGCCGACATCGCCTGTCCATGGGAAGTAGAGGATAAATCGGGTTTTTTTTCTTTACTTTCGCGCGCGGACCTTTGCTTCACTTTGCTTACATTAAAACTGCTTTTCTTTTACCCACAAGGGTTGGTCTATCTTATTTTCTTTCCCCTCGTTTCTTTTGAGAAAACAAGAGGAAAGGGGGGGAAGTGATAGAGCGACCTGGTGGGTACCTGACATTTAGCTGAGGTCAAAACACCACAGTGTCTAACACTGTCACAGATTTACACAACTGCAGAGAGGAAAACATATTTAGCTTTTCTTCTGCCTTACTTAACCACTGTTTTACCTGTTTTACATAGATGGGATAGCAGCAGTGTGCTGGTAACTGAAGGACCAAAGCAGAACATGGCCAGCCATGTGGGGTTTTTTTAAATTTTTAAAATACGGTCAATAGAACTACTCTGAAAAAAACCCACTGAATAATACAAAGCAGAATTAGATTCTTCAATGAAAATTGTATCAACAAGAGGAGAAATTAAGACTGAGAATAATACATCCACTTGTGTGCTCCCTGTTGGTAGATTACTACTTAAAACTTGTCCAGTCAGGATGCATTACGCATTAATCTGTAGGATATGAACAATTTATACATATCTTGTGCAAAAAGAGCAGTATCTCCATTTTCCTCTGTAGCAACAGGTGTAAAATATTAATTAAAAATAATTACTTTGAACTGTTTCTCCCTTCTCATTATCTTAACTAATTAATGAAACACTGGATCTTCACACAGTGCTGCACAAATTATTCAATTGTGCTTTTTGTTCACTTATTTCTTGCATCAGTAGTGCAAATGTATCTTTGAGTCAGATTCAGAAATCTAACAATATATATAATACATATGCATCAACATTAACATAGGCAGAAGTACCAACACTGAATGATATTATGATGACATTTGAATGTCTGAAAGTAAGGCACTTCCTCATTTCCCAGGCCAGTAATTAAAAAAATAAAAACCCAACAATCATTCCTTGGAATGTTTTACTTTAGTCAAAATTCCTTTCCTGGTGTTTTTTTATTTTGTTTTGTTTTTTACATTAAAAACAAGTACTCCATATTTTGTTTGATGTAACACCTTCTTTCCTCTTTTTATAACATGGAGCCTGATGTTTTCACAGAAATCAGAATACGAGTATATGATGTACTTATGATATAGACATATATATACACACCCCTGCCATGTTATTTGAGAGCTACTCTTTCATTAAGACAGCCAACCTATTGCTTTTATATCTGCATTCATTCTCTAAGTTAAAAAAAAAAAAGTGTATTACCTTATTTCCTAAGCTTCTGCAATGACCCTAACAGAAGCCAACAATGACTTAGAGGAAACAGCAAGAGGAACATTAACTTTGTAAGATGGAAAAAACTCCAAATATATTGATTGGTAAAACTATATCAAACCTAATGACGAATGTGGAAGGTTGATGGGGATGAAATGCAGCAAAATATTCACATCCAGCACAGATCTTACAAAAAATCAGAATGTACTTGCAATCTGTTTTCTTATTTATCAAAATCTAACAGTGTGTTTAGAAGGTTCTGTTCCTTCCCATCTTAAGAAGGACAGTAAGAAATCAGAGCAAATTATGTATTTCTAAGAGACAAATAAAACAGTCTTTTCTCAAGTTCAAGTGTAAAATGGAATCATGGGGTTTTGACAGGTAATATATTTACACATCATAGCTTATGTCTGTGTATTAATCAAATATTGAAGCAACCCAAGTGAATGCTAAATTTTGATACACTGCACAACAAAAGAATATGGAGAATTATATGCAGGTTAAAATATCTGCAGATGTTTTATTTTCTTAAGCCAAGTAACACCATGTATGTATAGTACTTCAAGATATAAAACCCCTTTCATAGAACAGTACTAACAGATGTGTACAAATAAATATTTCAGAAAGCATGATAAAAATCCAACAAAGAAAAACTCTAGTACTGTGACTGTTGCACTCAATTTCTATTCAGATATTGGCTAACACAGCTCATGCTAAAGCCTGAGGTATGCTGGAAACAGCGAGAG